AGAATCCACTTTTCATCACACGTGACGCGATTCGATCCAAAAAAATTATTCTTTTTGGTTGCATAAAAGCAAAGAACAATCCTTGAAACTTATTAATTTTTGTAGATCGTTCAAATCGTGGGGCACTCACTTTTCGAGCTTTCTGACCTTTCCAATACGTTTTGAACCATCGAAAACCGTACGAGATCTGACGCCAAGTTTTTTTGCTATTCCCGCACTGTTTGTGAGGGTTTAGTCTCCACCAGAGTCCTCAAATCTTTACCCTGGATTACTTTCGCGAACAATGTCGTAGAAAAATGAACATTATCATTGCCAAATGCCAGATTTATATTTCGGGCTGTTTTAGCAGGGCCTTGATTTAACTTGAATTCGTAGAGAAAAATTTGCCAAAAATGTCTTAACGACATCATGAAGTAAAAAGCTGAAAATAAGCAAAACATAAAAACTTGGGAAAAAATAACCAACAACAATGTATAGAGCGGAAAATGTTTTTCCAAGGTAGTTAATTCAATTTTCCACTGCAGTATGTGTTTTCACGGTCGCAACATATTTGAAAGGAACATTTAATTCATTAATATGCATTAAAGGTCATGAATAATGCCATAGCCCTTCGTTGGCCCAGCTCGTAAGCCTTTCAACTGGGCGTCTTCCCTCTGTCTAGCGCCACCACTGTCAAGGGAACTCCTACTAATCCGAACTCACTCTCCCCCCCTCGTACCGCCGACGCGTAAAGTCCACACGAAGGGACAAACCAGCGAAGGCAGAAGACCCAACTTTATTTAGTTCAACTCAAATTACAATTACTGTATATACAAAATCAAGTTAACTTCTTCTACTTACTACAACTACACAAGCACTACACTACACCACATAAGTACTACAAAAAACACATTAGAGGACAGTTGATTTTGTTTTTGCTATGTTATTGAAAGGTAGCAAAATAGTATCGAATTGTATGTGTTAAAAATGAATCATATAACTTGTAATCATCTTATCCTCGATCTTTTTTTTTGTTCTCAATTGCTTACTTTCCAGTTGAATCCTATTGATTTAAGTGACGCCCTTCTGACTCACATATTCTGTTGAATGAATGAATAACATCTTCCCTTTTTTTCTAGTATATTGCTATAACGCTATACAAAATGTATTTAAATGTTTGTTTACTCATTCAAGAACATTTTAATCAATTTTAATCAAATTTATCTACAAGTTCAGTAAACAGGTAATCTGGTAGTCCACTAACTACTACAAGAAGTTGTTCAAATCAGAAAAATATCTGGTTGGTTGAATGCAACAATCAAATCCAAACAAATAGAAACTATTTTTATTTGTGTTCTGTCAATAGGATGCTCAAAATTAATACATATCAAAAAGTGTAACTGATCGCTGTCTGTACATGGAATATATGTGAGAAAAATTAATATTGGAGTATCTCCATGAACGCAATAATACCAAAAAAAACTTTCGTTTGTTTATCTGTGCGTTTGTGCATGATAATTTTGAAAACAACTGAATATATGTTAAAATACGTTTTTTGCGTTAACTAGCTATCTCACCCCCACGAACGACAACCTTCAGAAGTCGAAACTTATGTGAGCTAAGGACTAACGAGGTCTTACCTTTCAACACGGGTTGGATGATAGCAAGTGAAAATCGATAGTTCAGCCTGCAGCTTGAACCACCGACTCACACATCGGTCGATTGAGAGAGTGAACAAAGCACCCACGTCGAACCACCCGGCTAATGAGCTTCACTCAATATTCAGTGTTACAATTATCTCACTTGACTTATGAATAAAAATGCATATCATTTCAAACATTTTCGTCAAACATCTGTTGGAAAAAAATACCATTGAAGTTCTGTTCAGTTTATTTGGCTAAAACGTAGAGTGACTCTATATTTTGTGAAACGATTTTCTTATAAATCAGAGACAGGTACAGTATAATACATGAGAACATTCAGCTATTAAATCATTATGGAAAAACACGATTGAAGTCACAAGCAACAGCTAATTATGGATGAAATGACTGTTTCTTTCAATTTCCAAAAATACTATCTAACAGAAAAAATAGGATTCTTCACATTTTACCCATTAGGGATTCTCCATTAGCAAAATGGCAATTCAAGAAGTTAAAAACAGCCATTCATTTTTTTTATTCATTCATCTCAATGAGAGTAAGAATGTTACCATCATACCCATTAAAAAGATTTCGTATATAAATTGTAACTAATGGTGTGAACTCAATTCGCATCACCCTGTAGGGCATGGCACTTATCAATTCATTAAAAAAATCTTTTCTGATTTTTTTCCTCCTGACTATTCCATTTTCTGGCTCTTAGGTGAGTCTGGTGTTTTGGTTGAAACAATAATTCACCTTGTAAACCGCCATCTTATAGCCAAACAATATTTCATTTGTTTCTGTCCCAAAATTACTTATTTGTTAATATCAAATCTCAACGTTTCCATAAACGAAATAAAATGTTGCTCAAAAATTAAACTGCAAATGTTCCTGGTAAAACTTTTAATCGACACTACTTTTGAAAAATGTGTAACCAATGAACAAAATTCACTCAAATATTTATTTACCTTATATTTTATTTCAATATATTTGACAATAACTGTAATAATATAATTTTTGTATTTATATTATCAATGATGATAACTACACAATTTTCATAAACATTTTAATATCTAGACATATTTCCTCCCTTATGAGGATGATGTAGTCGGCGTCGAAGAATTCGTTCGGTTTTTGCTACCGTCCCGCTTGTCGAAAAGAGCCGTCGGTGCCCATGGTCGAGGTCAGCGGGTCGTTAAAGGCGGCACTCAGTTCCATGGCCCGAAGGCTCCGACTGAATTTTTTTTCCTCTAAACAAATTAATGGCCAGGAAACCTCCAGTATCACAAAATATGCTGTAAATAATTGTATAAGGCCAAAAGATATAAATTGAAACAAGGTAAGAAAAAGGGCTACACTGAGTTCATAAAAAAATCTGATAATGTATGGAACGGTTCTTGGAAAGTCATAAACGAATTGCACAATCGAAAAAATCGCATATAGAAACTGACATATCTACGGATGATTATGGCGAATTTTTTGGTAATCTGTCTTTTTTCTGTTTTTCCGTTAACCAGCTGTCGCACCCCTACGAACGACAACCCACAGAAGGCGAAATTTGTGCGAGCTGAGGATTAACGAGGTCTTACCCTTTAACGTGTGATTCCTAACAGTATTGAAGATGATTTCATTTCATTTTTGTCTGTCTCAAAAGAAAACCCCATAAAATGTTTTAAATAGATATCTCAATAAAAGCGAATCCTTATTTCTTCTACATGTGTGGACTATTACAAACTAAATAGTTATATTCAATTCATGTTTCATATCGGATATATTTCCAGATTAAAAGAAAAGTTAAAAAATGACCTCAATTTTCAAAAAAGGTGACCCTTCAGTAATTTATAGCTATCACCCAATATCAATCATCCTTATACTGGGCAAAATTCTGGAATTTCTCATGAAAAATAGACGGATAGCATATCTAGATTCCAAAAGACAGAGCTCAATGTGGAATCAGATCGGGAGTTTCTAACAACCTTGAGAGAAGGCAAAATGTTGCCATTACAGACAAGGCCTTTGACTGTGTTTCTCATCTTATTCTTTTTTTTTTGAAAAAATGGAATCCCATAGTGTCAGAGGAATATATCTGAACTTGTATAACTCGTGTTAATTTGAACACAAGCAAGTTGTCTCTGAGTACTTCCACTCATCTTCTTCTACACATTTATCACGGTGTACCACAAAGGTCAATATTTGGTCCTCCATAATTTTTAATTTTTTCAATTTTTACATAAATCCTATAAAATGTATCCAGTATACTGATGCGCCTCTTCGATTTTGACTGGTAAAGACATTTCACAACTTCATTCAATATCTAAATATTTTTTTCAAGGACAAAACACAAACACTACAGGAAAATCCTCAAGGCGCTCTAAAAGCGAAAGCGATTCACAATGCATTTGAATCGCTGGAGATTGAATCCAATTGGAAAAACGTTTTCAGGAAGTTTATTCCACATGACACAGTTCTCCAAATGAAAGAGTTCTTAAACAGTGAAGTTTGAGGTGTACTGAATTGAACTCCAAAACGATGAGCCGCCACGGTATGTCGCGTATTTCTGATATGTACCGCTCTTGGTGGAATCAAATGTGCCAAGTCACTTGAACACTTCCCGTGAAAGTATCTATATAGAAGAGAGACAAATCCCCAACCATTCTTCGATGTTCCAGTGATTTTCGCGTCTCCAACCAGGTGGATGGTTCTTTTCTGGATTGAATCCAGCACGTCGAATCTCAACGTTTATGGAAACTTTAAGAATCGATATTAACGATAAAGTGATTTCGGGGTCATTCATATTATAAATGATACGTGAGAGTATAAATTTTATAATTCCCATATTTTGTCAATTCGCCAATTATTTTTGCCAGAATGACTAAAGCATGTCGGAACCTCCTTTAGGCTGTGAGACTAATTTCTGTTTTGAATACGTTTTATGTGTTTTCTAATTGTTTCTATTCAAATAAATTTTATCGTTATTACCCATAATAAACTGTTATTCAAAGCCAGATGATACTTCCCACCATCATTTTGACCTACGTCAACTATAAATGATAGATCATAAAAAAGAATTATAGCAAAATATTGTGGATCCGAGATATGAAGTTTGATTCCGTGTTGATCATCACAATTTTTTTATGTTGTTCTGCTCACCACAGAATAAGATCGAAGAGTAATAGAATCATCATAATTTTGGGTAATTGAGACATTTATGGTGCCATAATGTGCGAAAACATAATTTATATGTTAATTACAGTGCGATTTTGGAAAATTTTGAAAGTTGTTATATCTGAACAAAACACGTTTTTACCTAGGTAGTGTTACGAATCCAGTAAATTTTACCACCACTTTAATAATATTCAAGTCTTATATAACAGGTGTTGAATTATACAAATGAATAGTTTGCCTGTTAATTGAATTTATTAGTTCTAGGTCGATAGAATGGGTCTCACTTTGATTTTTTGTATCCTGATGTGTCTCTTCGGATCATATAATTCCAAAACCTTGCGTAAGTAATGATTATTATTTTAGTAATTTGATAATGTGTTGAATTTATTTAAAATTTCGAACTTTTTGATAGCAGAGGATTTTTTTCTAGTTTGTATCTGAAAGTTACTTCTTTGCTTAAAATAGACATCTTTGTATAGAGTTTATTTGAAAATAAATTTCTTTCGTGTAATTCAATTTTTATAGGAAAGTAGCTGTTCCACGAGGGCTTTTTCTTCCAGTTTGTGTCTGAAAGTTACTTCTTTGCATGATCTGCACATCTTTGTAAGGATTTTATTTTGAAATCAATTGCGTTTTTTCCTTTCTTTGGAAGATTCTCACATTTTTAATGTATAACGAGGAAAAAGTAGAAAGCCAAAAAATGTATTTCCCAAAACTTAATCACTCCTCAAAATATACCCCTTTCAATTGAAACAGAGCACGTAATTTAACAAATCCATTCTATAAATCCGAACCTACCATTGGTTAGATAAAAGTTTTCAGATTTCAAACTTCGATATAGAAGTATCAAATTATTGCTTATTAGTCCTGCTATGATCTATTTTGAGTGTGTATAGAATTTCAAAATGGTTGAAATTGATCAAACATTATCATTTTGGTAAAAATTAGTGATTCTGACTTTCATCTAAGATCTAAGAAGAAAATAATTAAACTCCAAAAATTCTAGAACCAAAATATTCGGATCAGTTGAATGGAAAAGAAAATGATATGCAGGAATTGGAAAGAATTATGCGAAAAGAATAGGCTATAGAAATAAATGATCGCTAATTTAAAAAAAAAATATAATTAGTGAAATGCCAATTATATAAAAACAATGAAAATAAAGAAAAATTATTTTAAAAAATTAGAGAGGAATACAAGACATTTCAAAACCATGACGTTTTGATTGATCCTTCTGAATGGTGCACCTAATGCACCTAATTTTTGCTAAATGTTTGAAATTATGATGGTATATACTTCACTTGGCGTGAAGAAAACGTCTCTGTTGATATTTTTTCAAAATTATCATGATATTTTTGACAAGAAAGGATTTGCAGAGTATTGATTTATTTATTCAAAAGGTGAGGTATATCGTATAAATGAAAAAAATACTCACAAAATGATTTCTTGAGGCCTTCGTCTTCCATAAAATCGTTAAAAAGACAAATCATACCAGTAATACTCTGCAGATACATACGAACATAAAACTCGATTAGGGAATCCCTTCCAATAACATATTTTTTCTTTTCCCCATTTCCATCAATGAGCTCATTCAGTTGATTATTGAATTGATCCTCTATTTTATTTAAAAAAAATCAAAATGTGGTTTTGTAAAATTGATAAACTTCTCGAAAACTTTTAACAGTTCAGACTTATCAGATTGTGATTTCCATTCATAATCACTGTTCCAGTATATCTCACTCACGACCATTAGAATTAGTGAAATAATTTAATTCTCAGTTTGTGAGAGAAATCATTCAAGAATAAGGTAATACGAATCCGTGCCCATTTTCATCAATTTCTCTCAACATTTTTACCCCATGAAATTCGAGATTGACAGTCCAAATCGACAGTACTTAGAAACTGAAATGAGTTATACTCACCCTGTTATCGATTTAGAGAACTGAAGACATTAACACTGTTTATCTTACCGTGTATTTCTGCAACTATTTCCATAACAAATGCCAAGTACTTTCTTTTTGAGTTGAATGAATGAAAATGAGCGTTTTGAAATCCAGTTTATACCATTAGTCCCCAGCATTAACACATCATGAAATTCGATTATGTTGAAAATATTGACCCGATAATATCAGATTTGATTTTCTGCAAAAAATACGCATTGAAAATGTGACGAAATCAAACCATACATTTATTTGGAAGATACCCATTGCATTTCTCGTTATCTGTTCATATGTAACAAAAATCTGTTTAAAAAAATATCTCTAGATTCCAACTCAACTAGTGGCTATACCTACCTTCAAAAAAGTAAATTACGACAATATGAATGAGAGGTTTGAAAAAATAAATTAGAAACAACTTTTTGGAAACAATGCCGAAAGCAGGGGAGCAGGTGCCGACGGAATTCCTTCCATTCCAAGAATTGTTCCATGTCTTCAAGTTCCCTTTTGTGTTTTCGTAGAATCCCTCATCTCCGGAATGTACCTTCCCAAACAAATTAAAAACAGCCTATGTTATTTATACCCATTCCTAAAATCGATGATAAATGATGAAAATAGGTACTGTAAAAAATTAAAGACCGATATGTAAATTGAATACCTTCAGCTAACTCCACGAACTAATTGTTCATAAGAGAATAATGGAATCAGTCGAGTCTATACACATTCCGCAGAAACATGAATTTTTTCCGAAAAGATCCACTGAAATTAAACTTGTTCTCTCTAAGGAGTATATTTTGTTGGCCACGACTATCAACTTCAAGTTGATTCCGTACAACAGCAAAGCTTTGGTTAAAGTCGATCCTAATATTTTAATCGCAAAATTGTATACATATTGATTAGCTTCATTATTTAGTAACTTCGGGAGTACGTCAGGATTCCCATTTGGCGCCCCTCCCTTCTTCGTATTTTTGACGATCATAGTTCACGGTTAAAATTTTGCAATTTTTCAGAATACGCAGATGATATTACCATATTTTTCTGAATAACAAACTATGAGGAATGCATATACAGTGCTTTTCAGATAAAAGTATCCACCTTTAATAACTTTTGTAATACTGGTATTTAGGAAAAATCCAAAAACACGTCAATTTATATTGGAAGGGGCAAGCATTATGGCTTATTTAAACTTACTGGAAAAGCCACCCCTTCACCCCTAGCATCATCCCTTTTTTTTAAATTACTTCTCATATTTTTTATGTAAAATTTGGATACTCCTCTTTGAGCTGATTTCAAAAATGTATAATACTTGTAGGTTAAAGTGGTTAGTTTATGAGATAAACAATTTTTCTTTTAATAGCACAAATTTTACTTATTTTTTACTTTCACCTTATTTGCCTGTAATAAAATGTGTTGTACAACAGTTCAAACTCTTTAATCTTTTTAACTGTGCTATTTATTATGAAGTTACAATAAGTGTTCAAAATGAGTACCATTCACTTCCATACATTGCTTAATACGGCTGGATTTAATTGTCGACATTCATTTTCTATCCTCTCTCGTAAATCATCCAGAGATTCTGGTTGGGTAGCATGAACTTTTGTTTTTAAATACCCCCATAAAAAGAAGTCTAGGGGTGTTAAATCCGGTGACCTAGGTGGCCACTCCATCATCTGCCCTCTTCTACCTATCCAACGAGCGGGGGATGTTTCGTTTAAAAATTGTCGGACAGGCATAGCATAGTGTGGGGGAGCTCCGTCTTGTTGAAATACCAGTAAATCTTCGGAAAGGTTATCATCATTTTCTGTTATTGTTGTAATACGTGGGTCAACCCCTTCCCTGAGTAACTCAAGATATGATTCACCATTTAAATTTCCGTTGATGAAGAAAGGTCCGACAATGTGGTCACCTAGGATACCACACCAAACGTTTAACTTTTGGAGATGTTGTGTATGGAATTCACGCATAATATGTGGATCACTTTCAGCCCAATATCTACAATTATGCCTATTTACTAAGCCATTAAATGAAAATGAGCATTCATCAGAAAAGCAAATATTGTTTAACAATTGTGTATTGTTATTGATAAATTGCGTCATTGATTCGCAAAACTCTAGACGACGATCAAAATCATCTTCATTCAACTCGTGCACCAACTTAACTTTGTATGGGTGGTACTTGAATTTATGTAGAACTCGGAAAACTGTAGAAGATGAAACACCGATCGCTCTACTTATTGTTGACAACGATTGGGGTTGTTGAGCCTCTAAGCTGACTTGCCCTAAAATTGCCACTTGGATTGCTTCGTTATTTACGAGTCCCTCTCGCTTATGCACTTTATTGCAAACAGACCCTGTTGTGGTAAATTTCTCCATCAGTTGAATTACATACTTATGAGTTGCATGTCTTCCGTCATGTAATTCGTTAAATATTCTAGCAGCAGCTCTTGCACAATTATTATTTTGGTAGTATAAACCTACAATTTCAATTCTTTCTTGCAAAGAGTAAACCATTTCAGCGAAACAAAATAAATAATGTATCAAAGTACACTATCAATAGTGACTACAAATTCTAGTTGACAATGTCAAACTTTAATAAAAAGTAGAGTTTTTTGTTGTTTGGATTTTTGAAGTAGAATAAATAGCACAGTTAAACAGATTAAAGAGTTTGAACTGTTGTACAACCCATTTTAGTACAGGCAAATAAGGTGAAAGTAAAAAATAAGTGAAATTTGTGCTATTAAAAGAAAAATTGTTTATCTCATAAACTAACCACTTTAACCTACAAGTATTTTTGAAATCAGCTCAAAGAGGAGTATTCAAATTTTACATGAAAAATATGAGAAGTAATTTAAAAAAAAAGGGATGATGCTAGGGGTGAGGGGGTGGCTTTTCCAATAAGTTTAAATAAGCCATAATGCTTGCCCCTTCCAACATAAATTGACGTGTTTTTTGATTTTTCCTAAATAACAGTATTACAAAAGTTATTGAAGGTGGATACTTTTATCTGAAAAGCACTGTATATTCAAGAAGATATGGATAAATTCAATGGGTTCTGCAGGAAATACAAATTATATTTGAATTTGGAAAAATGTTGCTACATTTCATTTACTCGTAATGTTGGTACCTTTACTCATGACTATGAATTTTAAAGTAATCGAATTTGTCTTCAACAATATGATGAAGTCAAAGATCTTGTATTTGACTTCTACTCCACATATTGAGTCCATAATAATCAGCAAAGTGATATATGTATGAGTTAATTGTGTAGTATCAACAAGTAAAATTCACTAACCATAGCATTGAAGCAACTCAAAATAAGTTTTTAAGATATCTAGACTTCAAAAAGAGGTGATATACAATCATATATCAATGTCGTTGATATATATATATATATATATATATATATCAAGCTGATAGGAAATGTCTCCATGAAAATCAAAAGATAAATAGATAAGTACTGTTCTGATCATTCCCATATTGATTTCAATTTATGGGCAGGCGGTCGTCGAAAGAAGACATATTATACATTTTTGATATTCGAGAATGTAACTAGATGAGGATCCCCCATGTACCGTAATGAGAGAAAATTTTGAGAATGAAATGCTATTTTTGTTTGTTGGTCTCACTGGAAGATGGCTTTTACCGTATTTTACTTCTAGAATGTATGAAACAATAATCATATAACATGTATGGAAAATTTGCTTATTTTAGGCATTAACCCAGGATCTATATAATATTATTCTAACTTCAATTTGAAAACAATTGAGAAATTAATTGCTGTTCTGTTGAATATTATTGACATTATCAGCTACTTTGATTATACTTCAACACATATAATTTTTTAAATACTTCCTCAATAAAATTATAATCTTTGGACTCAAAATCATTAATGGAATTGTATTACCATTAATTAGATTTCATTAAAACAACAATGATACAAGGCATAGCTACATTTTCACAATTTATAATTAATACATAATGCGTTAAAACATTACCTAGTAATCAAATGTTACACATATCAAACATCCACCTTTGGATCACAGTTTTGAATATGTTTTATCTGAAAAACGGCAATCAAACAAAAATTCCAATTCATTTCATGTTTCCTCATCTACGTTTTCTTATTTGAGTATCAAGTTTCCCAATTTGAAGCACATGGAATAATCAAAGCTCTTCTTCAACGAACTTCAAAGGTCATCTAACATCAAACGGAACTGTAGAACACTACCACCTGAAAAAATAATACATTCTTGTAAAAGAAAAAAACCGATGTTCGAAGTAATTGATATTTATTGACACTAATAAATTTTTCAGCAAGTCACTTTCCGCGATGCCACAGATTCGACAAAAACCTGGAACAATGCTTACTGGACGCCACTGAAACATTGAAATCCACTATCGGAGAGGGAGTTCCTTCCCTTCGGTTGCCTAGATTTGAACCATTCTTCTTGAAGGAAATTACTGTAGATCAGGGCACTAAAGCAGTAAATTTCAAAGCCATTTTAGAGGATATTTTGATTCATAACCTCACCACCTACAATTTTACGAGATTTCAGTGAGTAACACCAACAATTTTATAAGGATAGAATCCAAATCAATGTAATACATTAGGATTGAAATTGTATTAGAAAATTGAAAAATAGAATAAGGAACTCAATGCTCAAAGAATAATTTTCGAAATATTTATTTTTTCTCTTCAGGAATCTGACAAAAATCTTAATATCAATTCTCAGATGATTCATATGAAGATCATAATATACATGAAAAATCAATGAATTCAACCTCAGTCACCGTCTTGGTGACTGAGGTTGAAATACACATGACTCTTCTTTACTTGGATATTACATGCACAGAAATCAATTTCAATTAGTTTACTACAAATCAAACATAAACTTATATTGAAGGCAACAACGATAAAAATGAAACAACAATAAAAATTAATAGGCGCTCCGGGGCGACTTCATCGATTCCAGTGGCGCATTTGCTTTTTCAGCTGCAGGAAAACCCGAACTTTGCAGCACTGCCGCTTCCAATTCGTAACTACAATTGGTGGGCAATTCAGAAATCAAGATATTTCAACCATCCCCAGAGGTAAAAGTCCGTAGGCCGGCCAACGGTTGGGTTCTTGGTTGGCTATCCAATTATTACCATACTTCATGGCCAAAACATTGGTGGGAATTGCAGTGTTGTGAGGCGAAGCCACGTTTTGTTAAAAATATATACCTCTCAGCTCCATTAGTAGCAATTCTTCAACAAGGGGTTGAATATTTTGCCTTGACATTTCTAAATACCTCTGAAATGTGAGAGTGTCATCATAAATGAACGGGCTGATGATTCTACACCTGAAAACACCTGCTCACCCACTAAATCCAAATCTTCCTTGACTTCTCTGCTCCAAGTATAAGAATTGTAGCGGCTGAATATGCCAGCACTGCTCACATAAGCTTCGTCTGTCCAAAATTCAACGAAAAATCACACACTCGCTTACAACTTTCCAGGTACCACTGACAAAAAGCTATGAGGCGTTCAAAATTTCCTGGCCTGAGTTGTTAAACTCTTCTGGACCTGTATGGTAGGTCCGTTGATATTTTCAAATTTCGCGTTGACGTTTTGGGATTATTTTCAACAGCTCCTTAAACTACTATTTCTTCCAACTCCTCATCCCTATTTGATTCATATAATTTTGGCCTTCTCTTTTCGAATTGACCACCATCAATTAGGATGTGTCGCAATTTCACGAAAATGTCTCTAAAAAGTTGTCTTCTTTCTGAATACAAATTGCTTGCTGCTTCGGTAAATTTTCGTTATCTGGACACCCGGCGATTTTGAAAAAATTTTTGACTGTACTTACGTATTTTGATGCGTAGATTACGAATCCGAAAGAAAAAAGCGGCGCTCTCCCTTATTTAAAAAGTTACGGCCCTTCAAAGTTCAGAAAAGGCCAACTTTTCAGCCTTCTTTTTCACTAAATAAACTATTTAAAAACACAAGCATTTATTCACTAGGTCACCTTTACACCTTATTCCTCCTTCTTTAACACTTTTCACTTCAATAATCAACATTTTTCTTACAAAAATGTTAAAAAATGTACGGAGCTGCTTTTTGGTTACATATCACTGTATTTTACGTTTTTAAGGTTAATGATATGGTTGGTACGACTGATGCAGTCCATATTCCTGAAGTAATTCAAATGTTTTTTACCTTCATTCTTCAGATCGTAAATTGGTTTTTGGTGGTGTATTACGAATTTGAAATAGTAGGCGACGGCAAATACCAACCGCTTTTTTCTGAAATGTCACTAGTAACTAACCTAAAAATAGAATAATGTCACCAGGAGAAGCATTCGTTTTTAAATTAAGTTTTTTATAAGAAAAATGTTGATTATTGAAGTGAAAAGTGTTAAAGAAGGAGGAATAAGGTGTAAAGGTGACCTAGTGAATAAATGCTTGTGTTTTTAAATAGTTTATTTAGTGAAAAAGAAGGCTGAAAAGTTGCCCTTTTCTGAACTTTGAAGGGCTTGAACTTTTTAAATAAGGGAGAGCGCCGCTTTTTTCTTTCGGATTCATAATCTACGCATCAAAATACGTAAGTACAGTCAAAAATTTTTTCAAAATCGCCGGGTGTCCAGATAACGAAAATTTACCGCTGCTTCTGCATTTTCCCCGGTTTGTATAAAACAGACTATCATACCCCATTTTTCATAATTCTCATACTTCATTGCGAATGTCTTCGAAAATTGAACAAAAATCACTAATTTAAGAGCATCTTTACTGCTCAAATCAAAATTTGACAGCTACCGGTAAAAATTAGCATTCTGTTTAATCGCCGCATCGTCTAAAGCCTACTTGATTAAAATGTGCGTTTCAAAATCTATATCAAAGATGACTCTAGCAAAACAGTATGCTACATTTTTGGAAACGTGATTTCAAGCTCTATTGAAATATGCAGGAATATATAGGATATCTCATTAAAAAATCCATCAATAACTATTGGTTTCTCGTTTTCACTATTGAGTTTGTCTTGAAATTTGACCCTCAGACACAGTCATCAGTTTTCATCTATGGAACGGATGACTGCTAATAGAACGCTAATAATCCGTAATGACACATAAAAACAAGTATATAAGACATCTTGATATAAATATAAAACACTATGAACTCAGTTAACATTGCTATTATAGAAAGGAAGTCATCAAATTCCCCTACGCTATAAAAATAATGATTTATCAAAATTTTCTTTGACCTACTTTTGAAAATTCCGTACGTGTTACGTGTTATAAATTCAAAAGTGACAAGTTCTATGTTCACTTATCACTTATTTGCAGTTTTGATGTACCCAATTTGGAAATATTTGGAGAATGCTCATTCAAAGAGTTGAGATTAGAAGGAAAATACTCCGTTCATGGAAAAATTTTGGTGGTGCCTATAGAAGGAGTTGGAAACCTCACTGTTTCTCTAGGTAAGTTGAAGAATAAAGGACGACCATATCACAAATCATCCTCACAATGAATGAATCTCAGCAAAGTTGAAGAAATATTCAACTTATCAAAGGAAACCCACTTGTTTGGAACATATTTTCTATTCACATCCGCCATTCAACTGAACTATAAAATTGTATTTTTCAGATGATTGCTCAGCAAAATTGTATCAGAAGTTCAAAATTCAGAAAAGGAAGGGATCGGAATATCTCGTTCCAATTTCTACGAATGGATCTTTGACTGTAGGTGCTACTAGAGCTCAATTGGATGGACTCTTCGGTGGAAATGAGAAACTTGGTAAGTAGCTTGAAATCAAGTTATTCTTTTTTCAATCCCCTTTGATGAAATAACATTTTGGAATGAATCAAATATGAATGAAATAAAAAAATCCCAGATATATAAAATGCGTTTTTAGAATATTCATATAGAAATTTAGCTAACATGTCATGCTAACATGTCAAAAAGGAATCATTTTTATTATAGGAATATATAAATAATTGCTTTGATATATTCAAAGACATCATACTTGAAAATGAGTTTGCAATTGTTGGTGTGACAGAATCATGGCTTAACCGAGAATACCCAGATAAGTTTGTTTCAATTCCCCAATTCAACTTGATACGGCTAGATCGCAACAGTAGAGGCGTAGGTGTTTGTATTTATCTGAAGTCATCTCTCAAATATAAAGTGTATCACTCAGGCATCACTGCTCATGGCTTGGAACAGTTGTGGATCATCGTCCACGTAAATGAATATAAAATTTCTTTCAGAACTGTACATCGTCCACCAGGAACTAGTGTTGATTTATGTCTCAATGATTTATGTGAAATTTTAGAACAAATTTACTTGGAAAAGGCGGTTATAATTTTAGTGGGTGATATTAATATTAATCTCCTGAATCCAAATTCTAACGATACTCAATCGTTCATTATTTTGCTTTCTGTTTTTGATTTGTGTCAAATTGTAGAGAATCCCACTCGTATTACTAATACATCTGAAAGTCTCATAGATGTCATCTGTATAAATAAGGAATTACTGGTAAGAAGTTTTAATACTATTGATATGAATGGTATTACAGACCACCTAATGGTCAGCTGCGTAACCAGCTTTCGAAACGAACAATTACCTACTGATTTAATTTACTTCAGAAGTGACAAAAACTTTGATTTCACTAATTTTTATAACGACGCTGCGAATATGCCATGGGGTGATATTGTTAATTTACAAAACATGAACTCTAAAGTAAACTTTTTAAATGATTGTATATTACATCTATTTGATAAACATGCTTCTATCCGCAGGTTAAATTGTAAAAAGAAATTTCTGCCTTACGTCACATACAACCTCAAGCTCATGATGCAAACCAGGGATAAGGCTCATAAAACATATTTAACTTTGAGAACACCGGCTTCAAGGAAGTATTATGTAACTCTACGGAATTACGTTAATGAAGCTCTGAAACGCGAAAAAACAGTATATATGCAATATATTCTAAACAAAAATAAAAAAAATTCTAAAGCAATTTGGAAAAATCTGTCATATTGGGGCGTGAATACAAAGCGTTCTTCACAAATCAACAGTCTACCGCAAGAACTGCGTAATCCAGAAGAAATTAATAACTTTTTTCTTATTGTACTGGAAATTCTACAATTGACAGTGATACTTTATTATTTTATAGTAATAACAGACTCAATATCAATGCAAGTTTCTCGTTTATGGAAATATCCAATAAGGATATCTTTGAAGCTATCAATGAAATAAAATCAAATGCTTTCGGTATCGATAATATCAATATCAAAATGATTTCAAATATTACTCCACATTGCATAGATGAAGTAAAACATATTTTTGATGAGTCTCTGAGGCAAGGCATTTTTCCTGATCTTTGGAAAATTGCTAATATTTTATATACCTACCTATACCCTATTTTATATACCAAAATACCTATACCCACCTGTTTCAACGAGTTACGTCCAATAAGTATTTTACCAGCATTCTCAAAAATTTTTGAAAAAATAATAACACAACAAATCAAAGTATATTTGGATACAGTTAACATACTTCCAGAAATGCAATCTGGATTCCGACAGAAACACGGTACCAACACTGCTCTGTTGAAAGTTATCAATGATATCACTACTTCTCGGGACAAATCGATGGTCTCATTTTTGCTTATGCTTGATCAAAGCAAAGCATTCGATCTGGTAAACTTCAAACTATTGCTGAGTAAACTAAAATACATTGGGTTTGAATGCAGTTCTTTAGATTGGGTGAGAAGCTATCTCACAGGAAGGGCTCAACGGGTTATACTGGATAATGATCAATTATGCTCATCTCTCCAGGAAACTTCTTCTGGTGTACCACAAGGTAGCATTCTAGGTCCATTAATGTTCTCTCTTTTCATTTTTGACTTTCCTGCCACGTTATCCCAGTGCGACGTCCATTTATTTGCTGATGATTTTCAATTATATCTGTCAAGTCAATCTAATAATATTTACCATGCTATCACCAGGATGAACTTAGATTTAGAAAATACACTTCTATTTTCCAAAAATCATGGCCTTCGAATAAATCCAAATAAAACAGTAGCCCTATGTTTGGGATCTAACCTACAAAGAAATGAAGTTGAAACAAATTTCCATCTTTTTCTTGACAATGAACCGATTGTCTGGGTGAATTCAGCAAAAAATTTAGGTGTATATATCGATAACACTCTCTCGTTCAACGAGCACGTTAAACACATTTACAAAACTTGCTTTTTCAAACTGAAATCCTTATACAAGTTCAAGTTCCAGCTTTCTCAAGAAACAAAACTGAAATTAGTTCAATCATTGATTTATCCCCATATTGAGTATTGCTGCTCAGTGTATTACAACTTCTTGTCAGACTATAATAAACACTAACTTCAACGCATACAAAATGCTTGTATGAGATTTGTGTGCTGCATAAACTACCGTGATCATGTAACTACATATTTATTGAAATTAGATCAGCTGAATATTGAGTTTAGAATTCGTTATCTCATATCTGTATTCTTCTATAAACTGTTGGAAAGCAAAACTCCTAATTACTTGTTCAGATTAATTAGTAAGCGATCTGATAATCATTCTATCAATTTAAGAAAAGATACATTTACCATTCCATATCATGTTACCACCAAATTTGAGGGATGTTTTTCTTACTTTGGACCGAAGTATCTAAATAATTTATTACCGTATATTCATTTGTCTATATATCAATTCAAAAAAACTTTGAAAATTCATTTCTTCAAAAATGATTGTAATCTTTTATTTTATCTCCATAATAGTTTTTTATATTATTTTGGTGTCTATTGTAACTGTTACTTATAGGCTTACTGTATGCTTATTTTTTTCTCATACAGCAAGAATGAGAAATTAGCAGTTGACGCGGGAGTAAACTGCCCTATCATTTCCAAATACAAAATGTTATCTTAGAAAGTTGATTGGATTGACATAAGTTATCCGAATATAAATTCATGATCTCAAATTACTTTCATTCACTTTTGTTGGAAAACTTTCAATTATCTAATAGGATAGAGTTTAACAAATAACTAAATTGAATTTTCCAAGTCAATCCGACATGAAACATGAATCATTTCGAAACGCATTGATCTATTCTCATTTTCAACTGGTGAAAATTGATGAATGAGCTGATAAAAGAAGTGCATTCACCGTCAAAGATGATCTTTTACGAAAAAGAGCTTTTGTAGGTACTCCATATTCCTACCACTTCAATATTTTTTTGATAAAATATTTTTGATCAATATTTCTTCGCTGGTGAATTTTTTCTGCCATGTTGTCTGGTATAACTTCAATGAAAACGGTCAAGACACCTTCGCAAATGTAAAAATATTATAATTTCTCACCGTCAATATAATCAGTTTCCGTTCTTGACGAATAAAAAACTTACGAAATTGAGTTAAAAAATTAGGATTAATTTGATTGTTGGAAAGAATCATATTTTTTATATTTTCGAAGATCGAATATTCATGATAATAATCAAACAATGTTTGCAAAAACTTTTATTTCTAGACGCGTTTCGCTAACACCGTAGCTTCCTCGGTGTTATGTCGGTATCGGGTTCCAAAAAGGTTTTAATATAAACCCAAAAACATGTTGAACTATGTTTTATAATTCACCCATAACACAATGATAACATGTACAAATATTGCCAAAGCCAAGAACAGAAAAAGCTACGGACGAAAAAGCATTGACATGTGTCAGCAACAAAGGCGCAAAGCCGCTCACCGCGTATCCAGTGTTGAAAACATTACAATTCTCCCTCTTTTTTGAGAATATTGGTTCATAAGTTTGGCAGAAAAGAAAAAATATTAGTCAAGGCAAGGAAACAAAATTAATAATTAAACATTAAGATAATACAGCATATGAAATAATTAGAACTACCATAGTACAGAATATGATCAAACAGTAATACATATACTCATAGTATCTGCAAATAAAGACAATAGCAGTATTGGACGTCACAATAATATAATAACAACCTCAGACAGTAATACTGATATTGTAAGATTGGTATATTATTTTTTTTAAATTACATAAAATGAATGATTACAATTTTGTTTAGCATATATACTCAAGGTGAGAAATTTATTAAGGCTAAACTGGTGGTCTCCGTACCGAAGATCTCAGTCTTTCTCTAGCTCTTTGTACAATTGACTGTTGTAGAGAACTTAATCCTGAATAAGGAGGTGGATCAGGGGATTCATGAACGCTTTCTGAATTTACAGGAGAGCCTTGAACTGGCTCAGGTTACCATTGCCTTGATGGAGAATAGCTGGCATTAGAAAGTTCACTTTTACGTAACTGGTTTAGGTGCACCTTTCTGATGGATTCATTTTCTAACTTCACAAGGTATACGACCGAACCACCGTATAGAAGTAAACACAAGTAAATTCACTCCTGGTCGGCGTCTTTGATGTATAGGGTCGAGATTTTATTTTTTGCTGGCATGTGGCGGGGCAAGAGAGTGTAGGCTGAGGGCTAATGTGCACCTCTGCACGAGGTTCGATCAAAAAATATGTGACCATGATCTGACATCATCATTGTTACGAGGAGTTCACAATAAATATATCATATATGATTGTGAGTTGTTTAGGAATTGATTAAAAATAAGACAAGGTGGTGAAATAAACGTATATTTCGTAAAGTTTTTGATTTTTTTAACATTTGTTTTTGAATTTCCATTGTACAATTTCAAAGTTCAATAAATTCTCACCCTTGTGAAAAGAGATACTTGATGAAAGTTCATATTAAAACTAATAAATACAATTTATTGTATGATTTTCACTATGGAGGGTTTTACAAAAACCGCGACACGTGTTTCGCTATACAATAGCTTTCTCAAGCATCAACTAAAAGTTACTTCTAAATTACAACCATTTTATACTCTTACCTGAAACGGTAAGGTACGAATTCATTACTATATCAATAAATTTTTCGAAAGTACCGTGAATATACCTAACCATTTTTACCTGGAAATTAACAGATTCAATAATAACGAATTATTCAATTCAGTTTGATCGTTCATAAGATATTGACAGTTTTTGAATTCGTTTATGAACAAGGTGAGAAATGTTGATTTTTAAAAACAGTGTTTTGAGCTGGTTGCCTATGCAATCAGTGGCACATAAATTGTTAAAATTCTGTCTCTAGATGAATGATATATAAACTTCCAAACTGTTTGACTTCTGCATTACCGTATGCTTTGAAATAACTATATACATTTGTTTCATTCAGTGTGGTACTAACCGCCGCCTTGGCATAATTTTTTCAAAAGATATCCACAAACATAGCCCAAGCTATTGCCTTCGGGAGTGGCTAGATTTCTATAATCATTTTGTTCGTTGTATATTCAGCAATTTTCACAAAATCATCTAAAAAATGGTTCCAGCTACATTTCAGTCACTACGAGATCTTTTCTGGCAAGTTTATGAAAATTAGAACCTAAATCTGAAATGATACCCCTAACTCTTGATCCAATTTTTGACAATTGCCTAATAGCTTCAATTACAATACTTTTTATATCCAGTGTTGATGTGGATGAATTGGTAAAAAAGTATGCAACAGGCTGTTTCCAGTTCGAATGTATGCCTTTTGCCATGACTACCAAGACATATTCTGCCATAGAAGCCGTTTTCTTGTTCAATAATTCCTCAAAACCAACTAATCTATTCGTTCCTATATTGTAGAATAAGTGTAACTTGATGCTCATTTCATCGAAACAAATGGTATTAAATAGATTGAATCAGAATTTGATGAGAGACAAAAAAGATGTAGTTTAGCAAACGTTTATTTAGTTTGGTTTTGAATCGTTTTTCTGAAATATTTTTTTTATATTATTGGGTTGGTTGTTGTAAATATAAACTTCAGTATAAAATACAGATTTCTTAGTTTTGGGTTGCCCAGTTTGCTAATTATGGAGTGTGTCAATCGAATGAAATTCTAATGTTTTTTTTATTGATAACAGAATGTAGGAATAGATATATTTGCTATCTATTTGGAACATATAAATTATTTGGATTATTTGGAACATATAAATGAAAAGTAGGCCCAAAAAAAAGGTTTTTGAATATACATTTGATACTTTGGTCTTGCAGAGATTTCAGTGAAAGTAATTTTTTTTCCTACAGATACATAATAGCCAAATCAAAAACTTGATGTTTTACAACAATTATTTTTCTTTATGGATTTCCAGTGGAACTCCGATTGTTTTGTCATTTTATATCATTATTTGTGAGGCATATACTATTCGTAAAGTTCAATTTCATCAAATTAATTTCATAAATATTTTTGAATATTAATAACCCCACTAGTATGGTCTATAACAATTGTTTTTATGATTTTCGTTATATGTTCATTCCTTCAATCTTACACAATGAATACTAGAAAAACATACCTTTTTACGTCAGTTGGAAATCGAAAAAAAACAATGCCGACAATACCCTGCAAATTACAGCAACTCACAGCTCCACACTTGTTCGTTTTGAAACTAGACAAAAATTTTTCACAAATACAAATACAAAACCAACGACTCACTCTGTAATATTATTCCATGCCTCGATTTGGCTTGCTTGGTAAACACCTCAGATTCAGTCGGTTGCGCTGTAGGTTGGCCGCGCATGAAATTTGAGGTGGGGAATCTTAACCCAAATATGGCGGAGGCGGAGAGTGAACTTACTTGTGTTTACTTCTATACGGTGACCGAACTGATTTGTTTCATCACCTGAGCTCTAATCTATTCCAATATACCTTTCTTATGATTTCTGACAAAAACCTTGTCATTGATCTTAAAATTTCTTAACTGGCAAACTTCTAGTCCGAATATCGTTTTGAACTCATCCCTTGATAACATCTTATCAGCCAGAGACAACATACTGAGGGGGTTTCGGGCTTTAAAATCCAAGATCATGTCTGAAGGGGAGTTCTTTGTTACCGATCTGTTAAGATCTGTATAAGCAATTATATAACTTCCTCGATAAATTAGTCGCTGAACAATTTCAATGTTAATCACCTTCAAACAAATAGTCGCTGAACTTTTGGCTACTACTGATCTCAATACTTTGAGCACTACGTTCTGCTTCCTCATTGGAAGCAGGATGATATGGGCTTTGCGCATTTGTTGCTGACACATTTAACATAAAAAAAAATCACTTATCGTATTTTCAAGTTTTCAATTTCCAATTCTGTTACTCAATTCTTCTCATTCTATTCAGTTCATTTAATGCCTCAATGAACTCTTCTATAATTTATTGTACTTAAGGACAATTAACCTTTGAAAAATTGCTGAGGTAATCTAAGTGACTTAATTTCAAATCAAAATTTGCTTTATAGGTAACTTCACGAATAATTTCATCAACGAGAATATGGATGAGCTAATCAAAGAGATGCAACCAGTTCTAAACCGTGTGATCAGTACAATCGTGGAAAATTTGGTGTTCAAAATAGTTTCCAACCATATTTCCTACGATGAGTTGTTCCCAAAGTGAGGTCCTAAAGCATTTGTAAGCAATATGTTACTGTTTAGCAATAATATGATTGTTAGTATTTATTTGTGATTATTTGTATTGTAATATAAGGCTGGAAGGGTCCTGAAAATGACTTGTGTTTTAATTCTGATATACATATATCTCTAATATGAATTCAAACGCATTGAAAACTTTTTTTAAGAGAAGAAATGGTAAAGGGTTTATTCAGTTTGGGTGCTTCGATAGTTGAGTCAGATTGGGTGGGTGATGTAATCTGAGTTGAAACTGAACGTTATTTTTCTTCGTTACTTTCAGAAGTCCTCAAGTTTTATATTTCAAATCTTCAACGTCTTTTTTTAGATTTAAAGTTTACATCAATTGTTACTGATTACATATTTCAATAGTACTTGGTACCAACTACTTTCAATGGCTTTATCTGCCCAACTAACTTATCCTTCAGAGCTTTGTTTTGTTTGACAATAAAACTTATCAGACGCTCTTTTTTATAATTTGTGTGGCAGTTTCTTGATTCCCTTAATCGATGCTAGGCCCACAGACTAATCTAATCCCGAACATAAGAAAGGACATAGTCGGTTTCTGAAGTAAGATAATATTCAGAGTTTTTTACGACTGCTTGCTTTGAATGATTTTCAATATCTGTTCAATCAAATCTAACTGGTTTCAGAATATTATCAAATTTCTCTTCACTACTTGGTGTCACATAAACATATAAAATATCGAATTTATGTTATGAATTTCACTATACTCCAAACAAACTATTTAACATAATTTTTCAGAAAATAATGAAACGTTTTACGTTTCGAAAGAAATGGGGTTCTTTGTTTCATTCTTGCAATATTCCATAATAATCACATGCTTTGTTTTAATTTCATTCAATGCAAAATTTTATCTATGTCATATTTAAATAACTCCATGAATTGGGAAATAACTTCACGATCAACGGTAACGTGTTTTCTCATTATGTTTTGTTAATGCTCCACATATATTTTCAACATAAATTATATTTATTATTATTGTGCCTTTTGTTACCTCGAGTAGCCAATTATAGAATTGAAAACCCATGCTACCTTCAGTTAAAAAAATAATTTCTCTTCAATAGAAAACAGTAGGTATGTTTGCCTCATCATGAACGAAAAGAAATTTTTGATAAAACGTTAAGTCTTCATTAGGTACTTGGAGTATCTGTTGGTATACCACAATATTCTATCCTGAGTCCAGTACGAAAAGAATGTTGGTAAAGCTCTTGTCAAAAACTTGGAACACTGTTCCGAATCAGAAAACTCTACACACCTCAGCAACTTTTGATCCTTTATAGAGCTTAGATCAGACTTTCTTTGGGAGTATCTGTGTCTGTAAAGTAGGAAGGGTGAGTGTAGGCCCACAGTACTCAAGGTCACATGTGACCCATTGTACATCCTCCCGAGGAGTTGTCCTCCTAGGTCATCGTCCATCCTGTTCTTTCCAGGAAGGTCGACAGGTCACTAGGAGACATCTCCTTTATATCGGCAGGTATAGGCCAAGACTCGCCAAACACACACTCTCTTATTGACGATAACTCCGAACATCACACATCCTGCATAGAGGTGTGTCCACTAGCCCCATATTATGGAGGTGTTTCCTTAGTTCACAGTGGCCAGTCAGAAATCCTACTGTTAAGCACAAATGTTTTCTGTTCAGCGCCAGATAGTTTTTAGGCGCCAGCTTCCCAGGGTCGCCCAGAGTGATCATGGCAAGATTGCATCCTTTAACTTCATCCCATCTTTTTAGAGATTAAGCATGGGTGTAACGTTTGGCTGGTTCCGCAATTGTCGAAGTCATCAAGCCTTAGGTGCCACTGGGTCTTAAAATTCTCAGACCAGCCGCTTCCTTGGCTAAAGAGTGGGCAATGCGATTACCTTCACTCCCGTTGTGCCCTTCTATCCACCTCAGGATAATGTTATCATCTACCGTGACTTTGGCTAAATCTTGGTGGCACTCTAGTACTAGCCCTGAGGTACTCTAGTACTAGCCCTGAGGTAACACGTTGTCTTTTTAAGGCTAATAGGGATTGTCTGCTATCAGTGCAGGTTGTTTTTGCAAGAAATTAGTTTCCTGGTTATATCTTTCGTGGCGATTGAGATACCAGCCAGTTCTGTTTGAACCACGCTGGTATTTTTTTCCATTCCCATATTGATCCTTAGGTTCAGTGATCTGGAGCCGTATATATGCGTATTGCATTTGTATCATCCGACTCTATGTTCTGTTTTATTTGTATTCTGTAGGGTTTATTAAACACAAACCTGGATTCAATTGCATCACTGGTTGCCTGCTGCAGAGGTTGCGCAGTGAGCGCTTCTCGCCATATGCTCAGCCTCAATTGACCCATTCCTACTTCGAGGTTTACACCAGCCGTGTGCAAACGTAACATGACCATCAACGCAACCTCCTTAACGTACAGATCCAGAGGGGTCAGACCAGTAATTGATTCCATTGCCGCGGTTGGTGTTGTCCTCATGGTTCCTGTGATGTTTAAACAAGCCAATCGCTGTATTTGATATAATTTTTGGATGGCTGTTGCTTGTAGAACTTTCGGCCCCCATGCAATGGCTCGGTACATTAACATAGGTCTTATTATTGCAGTGTAGTTCCAGGTGATCACACAGGGTGAAAGACCCCATGATCACTGTCCTCCGACATTGCTCATAAGCCACATATGCTCTTTTTGCTCTACTCTGTAGGTGAGAGTTCCATGTTAACTTCCTCTTCAGAGAAGATTAGTCTGCTTTTGGAGATTACGAGGGGTTTTGAGCCCGATAAACTTATTTTCCTGGTGAAAAGGATCATTTCAGTTTTCTTGGGATTGATCGACAGTGAGTTTTTCTCACACTTGTTCTCATGTATGGAGCTCCGCCCCTAAGCATACCCTCAAGCTGCTGGATTCTATCCAGAAAAGAGCCATCCGCCTTATTGGAGACGCGAACATCACTTGAAACCTTGATAGTCTGGAATATAGAAGACAAGTTGGGGATTTGTCTCTCTTCTATAGATACTTTCATGGGAAGTGTTCAAGTGACTTGGCACATTTGATTCCACCAAGAGCAAAACATATGAAAAATACGCGACGGACTGTGGCTGCTCATCGTTTTGAGTTTCAACTCAGTACAACTCGAACTTCACTGTATAAGAACTTTTTTATTTGGAGAACTGTGTTTAGATGAAATAAACTTCCTGAGAACGTTTTTACAAATGAATTCAATCTCCAGCGATTCAAATCCAATTAGAATCGCTACTATCGCACAGGCACCGCTTTTAGACCGCCTCAAAGATTCTCCTGTAGTGCTTGTATTTAATCCTTGAAAAAAAGTTCACATTTCTTCATAGTTTTCTAAACACCTCTTCATTTATGAATAAGTCTAAAACACAGTAGGTATCTACGATTTCGAGTAATTCAAAAACCAAATGATAACCACCGTGAATCCTTGATTTTTCGATTTTTTGATAGATTTCCATCCTTCTGAAAATACTCTGTTGTTGCTCATTTTTGTGAATTATGACATACTACTCCTATAATCCTTTCAGTATAAAAACTAACTCACAGTGACAAAGTTATTCCTCCAGTTTTATAAAAAAATATATATAAATCACTGGATGAGTCAGTAATCAGTCATTATTATTCCCTTCAAAACTTTTTACTAAAATTTCTCATACATATGTCATCAATTTATTTCCCAAGAAAGATGCTGAAACCTAACCAAACTTAACCTAACCTCAGAACTATTGAAATTAGAACAGGAAACAAAACTGTTTCATCTCTACCAAAAACTTTTCAGCAATGAGATTGTTCTTTTGATTTCCAGTTTCCCCTGCAAGTAATTTTCGTCATATTAGCGAAACCATTCCAAACTTTTCTTCCTGAATTTCACCTAATAGTGGTTCTGATACATAAGAATGATTTTAACAAAAATAGTTATATATTTGTTGGGTACAGGTTAGCCTTTCCTAATCCTCATCAGTTTTCTAAAAGAACGTGTTATTGACGAGTACGAATTATAATTTTTTTGTTGATTCCAGTGGTTAATAAATTAGTTGACAGACCAACGCCAATAGAAACCTAAATTTATTACAAATATTCATCAGTTGATTCAGTCAGTATAATAAGTCCTAAAACATATTTGTAATCTGTAACCTAAAAAAAAAAATTACCGAGTTTTTCAATTATATGAAAATATTTCAAGGTATTGGGGGGTACAGTTTTGCGAAAGGTATTTGACTCTCAAATCCTTTGAATAATAGGTCTTCTAGAATGTTTGTCAACACCTTCTCCAGAACCGGCCGCAAGTCTTCAAACAATTCGTCGACGTTGTCGTTTATCACTTTGTTGGTTATTTGATCTGAAACAATTATTTTAATGATAATAACATCCAAATATATTATTATATATTGTTATTTTTTTATTTGAGTATAATAGTTTTTTTGTAATGTAATTCGTAACAGTAACATATGTTGGACACTGTAAAACCTAGATCATTAGACCTGTTAAATAATTTTTCGTATTCAATCATCCTAAAGGTTAATATAAAAATATAAGTTTTCACTGAGAAATTCGGAATAGTCGGCCGTGGTCGGATGGAAATTATAGCACCAACCGTTTCGTCTGTTGAAGCGGCAGCCATCATCAGTGGTATCTACATACACTGCTAGAAAGAAGGTTCTGTTTCGAAGTCTCGGCTCGCCAGTCAGTCATTGTTGAGACTACGAAATATAACATTCGTCCTCGCAGTCAACGCACATACCAGTGATGATGTATGCCGCAGTAGTAGTCGAAACATTTGGTACTACAACTTCTATTCGACGAGGGTCTACCAAGCCGAATCATTTTGTTGTATCTAACCCGATAGATTATCCTCAAAATTTTGAATGGTACTAAGGATAATGAAATGTCATTCGTTAAAAGGATATATTGGAGATGTTTTTGTAAAATGAAAAATATTACTGAAGAATATTCAGTGACAAATTTCCATGTTTCAATCCATTGAGTGTGAAATATTCCTCAAGGATTTACTGAAGATACGACTCATTCAAGTTAGAAAGGCGCCTATTGAATTATTTTTCATATAAAACTAGTTCTTCACCATCAGCATCCTTGCAGAAGACACATTTTTATATTAAAAAATTACTAGTTTTTCAGTTTTTGATTACTGATTTCGATTTGTAACAAATTACTTTTTGTAATTGATACTTGTCAAAATCATTATTGTGGAGAATTTGATATATTTTCAATCCATACAATGAAATGCAATGGAGAGAACTTGCAATCGTACAGTAACCACTTACATTATAAGATATACGAGTTCAAGAGAATCAAGTAGGGATGAAGGTGATGGAATACGTCAATAAATATCGATAAATGTTAATACGAAAACAAGATTCAGCCAAAACAGTTGAACTCGTCACTTTAAGTCTTTCAAGGCTATCTACTTAATTATTTTTTCAACATTTCATTGAGAAGCTGCTCTCACTGTCTCCCCACAAATTGAATGAGTTAGCAATTTACTAGTAAACTTACTTTCAAATACGACATTCATGTGATAATAAACATCCTGCAAGTGATTAGGCAAAGAAGTGAAAATAACATGGTATTCCATGATGATTTTCAAAAGACGATGATAATCAAATTGAAACAATATCAATAATCAATAATAGATAATGGAAGTGAAAATATTTTATTCATCAATCTGGGATCATTTATATGGATGATTTTGGTTACTTAGTGACTCAATTTTCTCAATAATAGGGGCAGGGATTTTTCAATATAACAAGGAAAGGGTTTTTGATATCGAAAATAACATCGTAATCAATCTAATACAACAACACCAAAATATAAAAGAAAAGAATAGGAGTAATAACTGTAATAGACATTTTCTGAATCTTTTTTTTCAATGCAATTTAGGACTGAATGACTTTTGAAAAACATTCAGACAGATTGACTTCAAATCGTACCCTCATTAAATAATATGATTTGAATTATGGTGTTACGATTGATAATCAATAAAACAACTCATTATGAGCTAATTATAATAATTATGTGAAAAAATTATTTACAAATACATATATCAGTTGGGATGTCCTGTGTTTAGAGTCTACTTCGAAAACAAAACAAAAAAAAGATGTCAATATTTAATAATTTCTGAGAAATTTATCTGCAACGTAACGTAGCAAAAAAACGTAACGTAGCAAAAAAATCACTATTCTGAAAAAATCACACTCCTGTAGAATCTGGATATTTTCTTCATGACACTTTTCACTCTAGTGAAAATGTTTTTTACGAAACCAACCTAATTTCAGGGTTAGTATTCTTTGCTAGAAATCAGTAGTACCTCAATAACAAACTCAACAGTTGAATTTTTTAAATAATTATTGCTGATAATCCAACAATCATTGGTGCTGTATCACCGAAATAAAATCAAAATGACACAGTTCATCCAAGATTTACCATTTGAAAATGAAATTATCATATAAGATGTGGAAAACTTCAAAAAATACGGAAAAAATCAAATACATCAGTGAATATTCTTTGAAAATATGTATAGATCATAAACTGGAAGGAGGAGTCCATCAGAAAACGCTACATTATGTAGCGTTCCTGTTGCCATACATTATAGGATTAAAAAGTGGCCGTCCTGGACTTCAGAAGGGCTCTAGGGTATTTCCAAATTTTGTCAATTTCGAAAAACGTCGAAACATATTCAAAAACCAAAGCTAGTTTTAAGATCAAGGCCCCGTAAGTATACCAAATAGAGGTACCTTCCTGTTTATTATTTTCATGTCACCGTGACAATTGGTAACAAAGCAAAAATAATATTATTCAATTCGAGGGTTTGTATATACCTGGAGGAGTTAGGTCTAACGAGCTTGTAGGCCAATGTAAAAAAACAAAACTCTAAGTAATGCATATTTCGTATTTCATTTCATTGCGAGAAAAAGTAACCTGATGTTATGCAGAATGTGTAAACGACGAAGAAACAGAGAGAATACATCTGATACGGAACACTGAAATTTTTTATGTTTTTTTTTACAATCGAATTATTCGATTATATATGTCACGAGTGTACATATTTCCAAATCTGCGTAGACTTCATTTGTCCAATTTCAAGAAAGGATCCAACATCCTGAGGGTTAGGTTATGTATGCGTATGGGTTATGCATGAAAACAGTATTTAGTGATGGTGAATATATTCAACTCCTTGCTCATCTTGTTCTGTTATAGAGTTGAAAAAAAAATGTTCATTTGAATTGACTTGAAAAATAGCTACCAACAATAACGTTGATTGAAAGAGTCCAAAAAAATGTTTTATGAGTAGTACCTATTAAAGACATGCCTGTTATCCATGAGAGTGTTTCGACTGATAACAAGTATCAAAAATTTAAATTGACCACTTGATAGGACGTTTTACTTAAGTATTACATTCTGGCCAGTCATTTCAAAATCGCATCAAGTCAATCAGTGATCGATAATTATTGAAATAGAGTTGTTGTTGCATAATTAATTTGTTTTCAATAAAACTGACAAAAAGTCATAAAATTATCCCAATTATAAAACTGTTGCTTGATTTTAATTACGACCTGAAATTATCGTCATTAGAAGATATATGCTAAGTGGTATCCTTTGATCAGTTCCATGTGTTTTCAAATAATTATTTTTGCTCTAGACTCATTGATTTCAGAATCAGTTATCAATAATAATAATATCAGTTTTTATTGAAATATGAATGAATTACAATAACGAAGGTTCTTTCAATAAAAATGATTGTGGCATTGCTCACATCCAACAAAATGTCACTTGTAAATATGATACACAAACAGAAAATTGTTCATGAGTTTCAAAAATGTAAGAAATTATCATTCAATACACCTGACGACATATTTTTGAAAAAACAATATGATTCACAGAAATAAGCTGAGCATGACATATTCAAAAAACACTGTATTGACACGCACAAACAATAGTTTGTTTTACTAACTAGATTCTACATTTTCAATGCTTTATACATCTATTTTACAATTTGAACAACCTAAATTTCAAGTAACTGAGTTTCACCCAGCCAATTATTGTTTTATGTATATCAGTTTCCACATTTGAAAAAATATTCAGTAACGGGGAGTTATTTATATGTATCTAGTCATTCAGTGAATTACCTGAATTCTTAAATCCATGTATTTCTAAGCATTCTAGCAAATTAGGTTTCAAACTTTTCTCTTCTAAGTGTATCACATTATTCATGGTTGAACTCATGCCCTTTTATGAAAGGTGGTTTGCAAATGTGGAATTGGTCTTTCTATTCTATGGTCTTTAATTCTTTGGGGAAAGTTCTTCCTGTTTGGACAATATAAAATTTTGGGTTAGAGCAACACGTCAGCTCATGTACTCCTGATCTAGCTGACATCAAAATGAATTTACTAAGACTATTATCCGTTATGTAAGCTACGTCTACGCATTCTTTTTTTTAACGGTTGATATTATTGCTAGGTTCACCAAAATATGACAATGTGATATAACGGACATTATTGTATTTTGAATTTGAGAAGACCTGGTCCAGGTAATTTATTGAATTATTTTCAAAAAACTACAAAAACAAGCCTTGGATCAGGTCTATCCAAATTCAAAATACAATAACGTCCGCTATAGGATATTGTCATATTTTGATGAACCCACCGATAATATCGCCCGTTTTTTGAAAAAAAAAGGCGTAAACGTAGCTTACAGAACGAAAAATAGTCTGAAAATTGATTAAAAACAATGAAGACGAAACTTTGGTGTCGGATAGTTCAAGATTATATAAGCTGACTTGTGGCTCTTGTCCAAAACTTCATATTGTCCAAACAGGGAGAACATTTTCCCAAAGAATTGAAGAGAATAAAAGTAGTTTTGTAAATAGAAAGACCAATTCCACATTTGCAAACCACCTTTCAGCAAAAGGACATGAGTTCAATCATGAATACGACGTGTTACATTCAGAAAAGAAAAGTTTGAAACTCAATCTTCTAGAATATTTATAAATAAATAGATTTAAGAATTCGGGCAATTTACTGAATGACCGAATAAAACCAAATAACTCCCCGTTACTGAATATTTCTTCAAGAGTGAAAACTGGTACATGAGGTGAGGTACTTCAAATTGAGGTTGTTCAAATTGTAAAATAGATGTATAAAGCATTGAATATACAGAATTTAGTTAGTGAAGACACTCCCGAAGAAGCCATTGTATGGCAAAACACGTGTCGCGTTTTTGTGAAACTATTTAGTGAGGATAGTGACAATGAAGTGTTTTTTGAATATGTTATGAATTTTCATCAAGTATCAGTCAATCTCATCATATATTTGAGTATGAGAGATTGGCAAAGAACCAGTATTGACATGATTCCAATGAAAATAAATTAAAATGTGCTTGCCCAAAATCGAACAAGAAACAGGTTATGTAATCTCCGACAAACTAACAATTCATCATGAATTCAATACATAAGTATAACACTGATTTAGTGTGAAATTAGATGTACCCGTCCTTTATATCCAAAACAGAAATTTACTCGTATTGAAACTGTAACTAAAAAATTACAGATTGGCAAGAATTGACAACAATCTGTTTTTTCCACTTGCATGGTTAATTGATAAATATGTTGCTGAGTGAATTTTTCCCAGATTCTCAAGTGTTCTAATAAAATTAGAGTATCTACCATTAAATGAAAATATTGTCTGTAACATTCATTATTTTATGATACTCACTCAGTTCTGGATTTCCATCAAAAAGACCTTCCAGTTTGGCCTTTGGTCCACCTACATGAATTGAAGTGTTAGTAAATACAGGCAAAATGTATGTAGCTCCTTTCCTCATTTTTTCTTCAACCTTCTGGTATACTGTTGCATTAACGCTATCTGAAAATTGAAAATTCAGATTTATTACGTGATGATTGTATCTTTATTTGTCCTCTTGAATAAGTATATCGGCATAAATTAGCTGAACTACTTAATAACTCAGAGTTAATATATGTCAAGTACGAGTAAGAAGGCAAAAACATCTCCCCTTACGAAATCCCTAGGTACCTATTGAACCAATGAATCAAGAATCAATGCACGAATATCCATCATACGAGGGTGGTTCCAGAAGTACCCGGCCCTACGAAGAAAACACTAAAATTTTCGAAAAAAATCATTAATTTCCCAACATAATTTCCTTGCAGCTTGATATACTTTTTTCAGCGACGTTCAATACGTTTGATATCGTTATCATAATAAGAATTGTCTTGCTCCTCAAAATAGCCATTAACTGCCGAATTCACTTCTTCATCGTTGGAAAATCTTTGACCACTGAGCCTTTTTTTTCATGTTTAGGAAAAGAAAATAATCCGAGGGTGCTAAATCTGGTGAATAGGGTGCATAAGGTAGCAATTCAAACTTTAATTTGTTAATTTTGGTCATTGCAATAATTGATTTGTGAGCTGGTGCATTGTGTTGATGAAATAACACTTTTTTCTTAGCCAACTGCTGCTGTTTCTGCTTGATTTCTTCACTCAAACTTTGCAATAAGTTCGCATAATACTCGCCTTTGATAGTTTCACCTTTTTTGAGATAGCCAATGAAAATTATACCACGCTCATCCCAAAAAACCGATGCCATTAGGGTGGGATGAAACGGTATTGGCCTTCGAAGAAGGTAAACTTTCACGGCCGGAGATAACTGCATGGAGGCTATTTTTAGAGTTTTCTGCCCGTGCTCTGCAGGTTTTTATGTCTGATGTTTAGAAATAGTAGTATTATTTCTTTATTCCTCCAGGTTTATACAAATAAACATAGAAATGCGTCAGATGCGTCATAAAAATACGCATTACAAAGGTTCTTAGGTTAAAGTACTCCTTAATAGAATAAAATGGATTTCTGAGTAAAAACAATGTTGCCTCATTTTTTAATGAATTCAGACTTGTGAGGTTTCTAATGTCGATGGGTAGATTTTTATATAATTTTATTGACATAATGTGAGGACCTCTTGAAACAATAGAGGAGTGATGAAGTGGAACCGAGATCATCTGATTTTCGCAAAAATGATATCCTGTACTCGACTCAAGTCTTTTCTGCTTGTGAATTTTTCATCGTGTGACTTCACATAAGATACACAGTTAAGTATATATAACGAGATGACTGTTAGAATGTTGAGATTTGAGAATAAATCCTTACATGAGTCTCTGGAACCCTTGAAAGTCATAACTCTTAGAATTTTTTTGGAGAACTCATTGATTCTGGTTGAATTTCCATAACAAATGTTGCAATAATTGAGGGTGGAGTGAACATATGCATAGTAGTAATTGAGTAGGATATTCAGAGAAACAGTTTTTCCATAGACCCTAACAGTGTCTAGATAGCTTGTTAGTTATATAGTCTACTCTACGTGATGCCCCCAAGTGGGGTGTGAGTTGATTTGTATCCCAAGAAATTTATTGACTTCATTTCGTTCTATTGAAATATGATCGTATCTTACTAGAACATTATAATGGAAATTTTTTGGAGTGAATACATTGTTATTCGTTTTAGAGCTATTTAAAACAAGGCCATTTCTGTAGCAGTAAGATTTCATATTATTAACCGAATTTTTGGATTTTTCCTGCGAGTACAAATGCAGAATGCACACCAAAAGAGGTGTCGTCAGCAAAATGTGCAGTGAAATTATTTTTGTTTATAGTGCAGAGATCATTGACGAATAAAATAAATAATGTTGGTACCAGAACACATCCCTGGGAGACACCGGTGATGACAACAAGAGGATCAGAATAGTGCACATCTGCATTTACACACAATTCAACACGTTGTGTTCTGCTTTGGAGATATGTTTTCATCCAACTATGTGCGGAGCCTCGCACACAATTGTTTCGTCTACTGTTGCGGTAGACATTTCCAAAGGCGATATGGTATAGGACGCAATATCAGATATGGTGCTCTGGTTCTTGCTCCTGCTATATCCAAGCCATTAACTACTATTTCCGTACTGGGTGCTCCATTTATATCGTTCTTGATTGCATTACCTGTTCGTGTTCGAACAGGTAGCCAGCGTTTATTAATATTCATTTTCTTTCATTTTCTATTGAAATTATCCCTATGCTTTTGAATCTCTATTGTCTCTCTATATATTCTTGGGTAGTAATTTTGTAATGTCTAGTATTACTGTGTCTTCGAATGAGATAAGGTACCTTCTTTGTTTGGTCCAAGACGACAGTTTCTCTTGTGTTCGGAGAGACGGGTCCCTATACTTCGTTTCGTAGTTCCGATGTAGACCGACCCGCATTATATTTACTTACACAAAAGCGCAGGGGTGTACAAAATAATCCCTGTCGAGTACCTACACCTACAAGTTTTATGATTTGAAATTAATTTATCATTTCGTATATCACTGTAAACACTATACAACTCTCAGGTCGTTTTTTTCCGACAGATGATGCAGTAAAATGACAATCAGATGCGTTTACTTGCAAGTTTAACAATATACAAATAATACCCCCTCAAAAATAGTATTTGCAAAAAATAATTAGATAACTAATCAAAATTAAACAACCTGCAGTTACTTTCAACAAATTATTTTCCTACTCTCCATATAAATAGTCGATTGAAGTCTGTCTGTACTGTTGAAATCTGCTTTTCCGTTAACCAGCTGTCACCCTCTATGAACGACAACCCTCAGAAATTGAAACTTGAGCGAGCTAGGGACTAACGAGGTATTACCTCTCAACGTGTGATTCGTAACACAGGTTGGACGATAGAAAGTAAAAATCGATCGTCCGGCCTTGCGGTTCGATATATAATATATGTATATATTGTATGACGTATGAAGAGGAAGTTTCTCTACACTGAACTCCTGGTCTTGCTCTATCAAAAATTCATAAAGAAATCATTGTCGATGGGAAGAAGCTTAAAAGCCGATTCGAAAAGAACAAATAGAGAGATTTAGATTTTGTAATACAGCCTTTCAACGTTATTTAAATTGCTATATAAACTCACCAACGGATGCATTGAATTTTCCGGAACCAACAATTGGAGCAAGGAGAATTTTGCCGGTCACTGTATAGTCTCCCTCCAAATGCAGCTCTTTCAACGTGGCATCGCAGAAGAACTGGAGATTAGGCACGTCAAAACTGAAAAAATACTTGATGGAAACACATAAAATTTTGTATCAGACATTATTTTTCCGATCAAAGAAGTCTTTAATCAACTAATCGATCGCTGATAGTAATAACACAATTGTAACACTTATAAACTTCAAAATATCCTAACTCTGTTACAAGTTATCCACAGCTAACCACCGCCAAATGAAAATATATAGATTCACTAGTACTATGTTGCTGTATCGGTGCTGTTCCAATGTTTTGACAGCGCCATCTAGTGGTGAGTTACAGAAAAATTGATAGCCTCAAAACCTTCTCTATGAAAAATTACTTATACATATCAAATTTTATCACGATCGGTTAAGCGATGTAGAAGTTTATCACTTACCAACCAACCAACCAACAAACATCCATTTTTATATATTAGATTCTCACTCCAGTCTGAGTATAGTTATCGTTGAAAAATGAATGCTCTCAGGAGTCATACCATGTCAGGACAAATTTTCTGTAACTTTCTTACAATGTGTCTAGCACATAGTGAGAATATCACTGTATGCCAATATCATTTCAAAGGTTTATGTACTCACTAGAAACTAAAATATTTCAGCTTGTTTTTTTTTTACTTTTTCCTCTTTTCCTCTTTTACTCGTATATTTGTTTTACTACACTCATTACCTGCCTGACGCGGAGGCAAGAATTCCAATATGATCAAATATGCCTATAGAGTCAAACCAATATTGTTGTGGATGACCCCCGTGTATTTGTTTTTTACACTCTATACTCGAAACTCTAATGACTTTCTAATTGTGGCGAGAGCAAAGTTAGTGCGACTATATAAGCGAACATAAATCTTTCTCTCGAATCACTTTGTTCATTGGTGAAAACTGTATGAAAATCCGTTCGATAGTTTTCGAATTTTTTGCGTTCAGTCAGATTGACATACGAACAGAATTACGATACTTACTCAAATCTAGTGAAGGTATAATCAGTCATACCATGGATCAATACATTAGTCAAGTTAGCCTTGAAATTCAAAGCAGAGGTTCCCTGTTCAAGTGTTATTTGTGGAATGAGGAAAGGATCCAATGGTGGTATATTCAGCTCTGGGACTCCTGTGGCCATATACGGCTTGACCTGTTCTGTTGCTTTGATGAGACATTGGTTCAAATTTGGATCGAGTCTATGACAATTTGGGAAATGTTTGGCTGAAAAATTTAAAATCACAGTATGTAAACAAGTAGATGACCTCAATATTGATCTAACTTGAAATTCAAGGAAACGGTTAGATATTGCACTAGGAATACACGTATTATTCGAGCACTTCAACTAGAATAATCATTTTATCAAGGGTCATTATCCCAGTACATCAGTTCAAATGTATGCATACATCCATGTTTTTTGAAATCCTATCAAGCAAATGACTTAAGTGTAAAACAATTTGATGAAATCTCGATACCTTAGGTCGAAATGATTCTACTCGGAAGCTCTTGCTCAAAAATTCAGTTTTGAAAATTGAAGTATTGCCGTGTTTTATTCGTGTTAGTTTGATGTACGAACGATATAATAATGATAATAATTATTATTATCATCGATAAAATAAATGAAGGAAAATGAAAACTCCACAGACTATTATGAAAAATGAAATTCAGGAGTTAACATTTTTGGTTTCGTGACCAAGAAAGTTTTATAATGTTGGCTCAAGATACACATCACATATTTGTCCTATAGTTTTATTCATTTAAGGAATACGTAATGTATGTTGGCGATGTTTTTTGTGATATACCTATCTATTTCAACGTTATCATATTTCGATTTGAATTATTTCAGCAAAATCGATTGGCAATATAATTGAGCAATGTCAAAGAAACAGCTTGCTTGATATAGAAAGTCTAAGAGAAATATCTAAATTAAATCTAAAGCAAATGAACTTTAAACGTTCAAGCCAGTCTCGATATACCTACACAGTAAGTTGAATGGACTGACGCCTATCAGAAAACAACTACTCCCGTGGCTAATACCACGAAGGGCGTTGGATTATATCCGACAGGCGTCAGTGCAGAAATCTTCACAGAAAATTTCCTGCATATGCAATTATTGCATATGCAGGAAATTTCTTATTAGTCAGTAGGCATAGCCCATTCTCTCATTTTCCAATTAATTTCTGCACTTGTACGTCCCATCTAAGAAAATCGATAAATATACCCACATATTTGATATATTTTTGTCCCATCAGTTCTACATGTTCATCTTCAGAGGTTGCTGCCCAAAGTATGATATGAGGCGGATTTGAGAAATAACTAGTGAACGGAATATAAAATGTTTTCAGGTATTTATGGTGAGTGATGTATTCCTAAAAAAATTCATAATATGTTTGAAATCATTTTCTATCATGTCTTCCAAAGGATTCCAGCTATTGTTTCCAGGGAATACCGCGGTATATTCGGCAGAACATATGATATCTACTATGATGGGGTAGTAAAATAAGTCATTCACATAGATTCTGGTGAACAACAATGGTCCAGCTATCGTCTCTTGTGGAACTTCAAATTTGAGTTCTTCAGCTTCACTCTTTTCATTTCCAACTATAACATGTTGTTTCCTATCGTTCAAAAAGAGAATCATAATATACTCTATCACCTAATACCTTCCTAATATGTTTCCTGAAGTGAGGAGTATCTTATAGTACCACCACCAAACAGTGTAGCATTACATTCAGACTCTATTTAATATCAATAAGTCTTTGATGAAGGAATTGACTTGTCCGAAAAGCAATCATGGATTGCAAAAAACAATATACCACACCTCAGCTCATTACAATGCTTTGCTGAGAAAAAAAAACCTGAGTGTTTCACTATGATCTTTAGTGCACAGGAGATGTTGTTATTAATCATTTTTTGATACACTGAATCACTATATTGATCTTCAAATACGAATTCAAATATGATCCCATATTTGAATTCGTATTCAAGAACATTAGATCCACATCCATATTTAGAAAAATAAAATACTTCATTTCATGAAATTATAAAACAACAACAAAAATTGATTGGCGCTCCGGGGCGACTTCATTGATTCCACTGGCGCATTTGATATTTCAGCTGCAGGAAAACCTGGAAAAATCTGCAGCACCACATGCATATTGTGTCTTTAGGTGTTCGTGAAAATGAGAAAATCTGATTGTTGACTGGGAATATTGTTTTTATATCATGCCTCTACTTTGAAGGTAACTTCAAAAAAAAATGAAAATTTGTCAGATAATCCGGTTTACATTGATGCCAAAGCTACCAATAATAAGTCCCACGTGATGAGGACTTTACGGGTCACACTGTAGGACTTCCCCTACGAAGTCGCCATTTATGAGAAAACTAAAAAACCCTTCCATCGAAGATGAAAAATGATTCCTATGAAGGATTGTTCCAAAACCAAATATCGGCACGGTTCTGTCTTTTGCAACTTTCACTGCTAACAAATAACTACATATCACGGCACAAATGTGTTGCATTCTTAATCTTATACGAAACAATGTTTGTCAGTGATGCTCAGCTGGATCATGAATGCAAAGATTGAACTTGGCTTTGAGGAAAACAATCCTGAGTAGGATTGCAATTACTGCATTTACAATCTCTCAGAGTCTCTGCTAGTATTACTAATAAAGTATTATTGATAATAAGTATTATTACTCCATTCGATTGAAAGTAATTTCTTGGTAATGATGAAGATTTGAAATTGGCAAAAGGAAATTTTCCATTCCGAGACATTTTTTAGTATGAAAATGTCTATATCTGTAGCACTTTTGGCGTTTCTGTCAGTATTTTACATTAGAATGAGTAATATTCAACTTTTTCATTCATCACAGTCACTGAGAATAAAAATGTGGTGGTTACGTGACACAGTAGTGTCTTAGAAATATATTTCAATTCATTTCAAGCTGAATTGGCATTTTATTCATGTATATTGAAGTAATTTTTTGTTTCTAATGTTCACTACGTTTTGGTCTCCGCAGAAAATAAACCGATATATTTAAATTCATAAATGCATATCTTTGTATATTCTCTCTGTTTTAATTTGATTGGCTTTCGGTCTCAAATATTACTCATATGAATTATTTATCATCTATTCAAGCATAAACGAGTACAGAAATAACAAATACTGACCAAACCAGAATTCGCATATTCGCTATTTTATTACATTTGAACTCCACTCAATGCTGTTAACATTATTAAAATATACTCACGTAAATCTTTGGCCTCGTATCTGGTAAATAAACAAATCAATGTGGTGATTGCATAGAAATACGCACCCATTATGGAACCGTTCTTAACACTGAGACTAGCGAACTGACTATGGAGGTAACTTCTGAAGCGCACTTATACCAACAATCACGGGGCTTTCAATGTTATTTCTGATGTCGATGGGATGCCGTCTCTGTTTCATTTTTAATTGCCTGTTAATTAGCATATTTCATGTCGATTACTTTGATAACGATGTAGAATGTTGTATATTTTCCGGTTGGTTGGCCTGGCGATTTTATAACAGAAATGAAAGATTCTTTGAAAATAACGATGTTATAATGATCCAGCAGTTCTGTTCTTCATTAAATTTGCAACTAATATCTATACAATGATTATCTGCTAATTTACATAACAAAAATTAATCTCGACTAAAAATATATACCTTTCAATTTATAAGGGATATGTTATTTTTATTATTGGGCTCCGTCTAGAGATGAATATCAAACCAAGAATCCAATAGAATGCTACGCCGACGACAACACACCTGTCTCGTCACTCCATTTGGATTCCAGAAAATCGACTGTGAATGCTCATCTTCTCCGGCAGCAGGAGGTTGCATATCTTGATGAGGATCTAGAGGTGATTTCGAACTGGAATGAAAGTAACCAGGTTCAATTCAATGCCATGAAAACCCAAGCATCGGTTTTCTTCAAAACGATACATGTCTTCGAACCGAATATAACAATGTCAGGACCGACAATTCCACTTTCTGCTTCTATAGGTTTGTTGGGAGTTAAAGTGGACACTGATATGTCTTGGCACAATCATTTTGCTGGAGTTGCAAAGGCTACTTCTCAAAAACTTGGAACTCTGTACACACTCAGTAACTGTACACAGCTCAGCAATGCTTTGATGATCAGACCTTCTTTGGAGTATTGTTCTCATGTATGGAGCTCCGCCCCTAAGCATACCCTGAATCTGCTGGATTCCATCCAAAAAAGAGCCATCCATCTGATTGTAGACACCAACATCACCTGCAACCTTGCTAGTCTGGAACATCGAAGATAGGTTGAAGATTTGTCTTTCTTTTATAGATACTTTTACGGGTGGTGTTCGAGTGACTTGACACATTCGACACCACCAAGAGCGGTACATATCGGAAATACGCGAGGGATTGTGGCTGCTCATCGTTTTGGGGTTCAACTCAGTACACCTAGAACTTTACTGATTGAGAAAGATTTTGTTTGGAGAACTGAGTTTATGTGGAATACACGTTCTGAGAATGAATTAAATTTTTAGCGATTCAAATCCAACGTGAATCGGTATTTTCGCACAGGCACCGCACTTGGAGCGCCTGAAGTATTTTTCTGTAGTGCTTATGTTTGGGCCCTAAATGCAAAATGCAAAAAAGAAAAAAATCCTCAAGCGAAAATGTACATTCATTCCTCAGACCTACACATCAGACGATATTCGCCTCACCCGGAACTGGAAAACTACACGACGATAATCGCTTTACTTTTCATTCATCAGCCTCAGAGGTTATGAATAGTTTCAATAAATTGGGTTCTTCTTGTTTCCCATAAAGGATTGAATACCCTTTGTTATCAGGAACCTCTACACCGATCATGTGACTACGGTCGTCCAAGGTGTTGTCGACACGATCCTAGCAGGCCATGATGAACGCTTTAGTTTTCGATGATCTTCAATGATCCAAGGTCTTCAATGTTGTTAAAAAAGACTGCATGCATCGGCTTATCCTTGTGATGTCGCAGAAGTGAAATGATCTCTGCTGATTTTATGTGAGCCTTCTGCTGATCATGTTTCGATTTGGTTACACCTCTTCCAGAATCCAACTAAATCATGTTCGTTAGCCACCCGTTAGCTATCTTAAAGAAAAATGATCCAGTTTCTGACTCTCATGGTTGCGGATCATGCAGTACCATTCTGCCATGTAAACACTCCAAACTAAAAAGTCTATCCATCTTCCTCTAATGTTCGAAAAGAACTACATCAGGCCTATTAGCTGGTATGAGTCTGAGGGTATAGAATGAATAGTTTGAATAAATCTGGCACTTCGCATTTCCCACAACGGTTTTAAAATCGCTAGGAGCAGGGCCGTCGTCATGGGGGGGATGGGGAAAGCATCCCACCTGCTTCTTCGACTTAAGAAAAAGTTGGTAAATTGTGGGCCGTGAAGATAGAAAAAATAATAGTAAAAAAATGAATGAAAAATAAAAATGAGAGAAAAAAAGGGAGAGGTACGGGAAAGAACCAGGACAAGGTTGGGATTTCCCAACATGCATGACTTGGAGATCCCATACTTTGAAATTCTGAGTTGTTTGAAAACTTAAAAAAACTGAACAGTCCACAAATTTTGAAGTGACAATTTTACAAAATTCCCAATTTTTCGCTGTTTATTCGACTTGGAAAAGTTGGGAGATTTCGGGCCGTGAAGATAGAAAAAATACTAGTAGAAAACAATACGCACAATATTATTCAAGTGTTGTTTCTTTTCATTTATATTGAATATTCCTATACATGGTGGATATGGTGGAAGACCAAGAACCTTGGTCCAAAGTAGAATAATTCCCATTCTTATTTCCATAATTATCAAAATGTATTTTTGTTTGTGGATACCCTAACGGGCATAAGCATTCAGCCAATCTTTGGGTAGTCATTATTACGCCTTGGTCAAAGACGAAAAGGACTGGTTTAAGTTTGATGGTAGTCGTGTCACGAACTGTTCTGGCGATGCATTGACTCTATTGGAGCCTCTGGAGACACCCTACATTTTGTTTTATAAGAGACAGGACATTGGTAGATCAAGATCTTCAGATGATGTGGTGCTGCAGGTTTTTCCGGGTTTTCCTGCAGATGAAAGAGCGAATGCGCTACTGGAATCAATGAAGTCGCCCCGGAGCGCCAATTAATTTTAATTGTTGTTTTTGATATAAATTGATTAAAAATCCCTGTGCAAATTAGTTTGTGAAAATAAAGAAATTGAAGTAAGAAAATTAATATATTATAGTAGTAACTAATCCCTCGGCTTTCATTTTTTCGAAAGTTGGAAAATTTTGCTGGTGGGGTTGGGAAAATTTGGAGGGGGGGGCCCTGGTTTTTCTTTTCGCTACGGCCCTGGCTAGGATTGTTGAGCAATATCGGTGACCTATAGTCGATTAAACTAAATCATGTTTTCACATTGCTCATTTCACATTATATTTGAAAAAAAGAGAAAAAATAAAGATCACGTCTTATCGACTATTGAGCACAGTTGTAGATAGTACTGATATTACATGTGCTGGAAGAGCATTCCGATTGGAGTGAACTCGCTTAAAAAATGTTAACGGCACAGATTTTAGGATTTTTCAGACATTAGTTACGACTGTGTCCGACTAATTGTTCATTTTGATGCTATTTTGATGTCCATGTAGTATTTTGTATCTCTGTAAGGTCCCCACGTAGTCGTCTCTTTCGAACTTGTTGAGGTTAGCCTGTAGAGTCTCCTCATCATAAATAAATGAATAAATTCCGTATAGTTGTTCAAAAATCAGAATTTTTTCTCTGGATTAATTCAAGGGTATGGACGTTTCTCACAAAATAAGTATTTCATAAAGATCACGGCATATTCCAATTTGGATCATACGTGAATCATGTATATTGAGGTCAGGTGTTCAGGAGGCATTTTTTTGAATGCGATGAAAATCAAAAAAAAATCGAGCCAAATTTTTGTATGGTCTCTCCAATGTGAAGAGCCCAATCAAGATCGTGATCAATCTTTTTAGAAATCTTTATCGAAATCTTTATATATCGAGAGACATTTTTTGAATGCAATGAAAATCGTGTAAGAAATCGAATTGACTTTCTTTATGGTTGCCCCAACGCGACTTACCAGTTCCAGATAGTGGCTCAATTTGAGAATTTTTCAGAAACAATTGGTGTTCAGGGAGTCATTTTTGACACCATGTTTCGACAATTCTGATATCTATCATGATATTGTAGATTCATTGACATGATTGCCAGATAATCCAATATAGTCAGAGAATGAAGATGCATTCAAATGAATTGGACACCCACGATCACTAATGATGATATAAAATAGTAGTGGCCCAAAGATGCTCATCTGGTGGCAGAGTGACCTTTACAAAGTTTGATTATCACCCTAAAATTTCTATTTGGTAGAAAGTTTTTCATCAGGTGTAGTAAATAGCCCCTTACTCCGTAGTAATTCAGTTTTCATAGTAACCTTTCACGAGGTACACGATCGAAAGCTTCTAGCTTAGTAGCATGACTGTAAATTCATCCACTTTCAACATCTGACAATCCATATTGCTTTGCTGTGTGTGTTTCTTATGCTCAGCAATGCGAACTTTCGATGGCCTCTTAGTTTCACCGATGTATGATTCTCCGCACTCGCAGGGTATCCGGTAAATGCAATTTTGAAATAAATATTGCTTAAATTTGCAGATCTCATTTCTAATGGTAAATGATTGAACAATTTACCAACATTATAATATATGGAATCCTTGATTAAATTCGAAGTTGGGATGGGAAGTCTAAAGGTTTAATTGCTATTGCGAGTATCATAAGGAGTAGAAGCAAACTGTCTCTAAGATAAAAAGTGCGATGACTGTTAACATTTTATTGGCCATGAACAAATTCCTGCACGATTCTCTGTGTTTGACTTTACAGAGACATCTTAATATATCAATACAGAAGAGAGAAGGGATGAGTTGCATGCTCCCCAAAAAGGTATTCCATAATGTAGTCGAGATTCAATAAGTGCATGGTAAACGGTCTTTGCGACATGGAAACCCAACTCATTTGAAACCACTCTAACTGCATAACATCCTGAGGAGATCTTACTCTTCAGTTGTTTAAGGTGTTCATCAAATTTCAGCCTATTATCAATGAATACATCAAGAAACTTTGTGTTTAATTTATTTTGTGATATGGCAGTATCTATTGAAATGACATCTAGCGAACAATTGAATGATATTATATTCGTTTTGGATGCATTTAGAGAGAGATATTGGATTTATAAATAAGTTGATTAACACTATACATCTTTCCATAGGGTATAGAAGATAGTATTATGTTTGTATTCGTACAGAGTTTCAGAAGACTATTGATTTTTCTGAATGAAGGATATTTA